ATTGGCGATATGCTTGACTGACCCTCTTTTGAAACTCACAAAAATTGGCAGTAATAGAGACCACACAGATCATACTGACTCCAGAGATGCATCAGTTTAATAGTGCTTCTGGTTGTTTTCTGACAAACATAAGATTCTGAAGCAAAGGTCCATTTTAATTGAAGTGTTTTTAATGTAATGTATTTAATAATGGTAAGTTTGACTCAAATATAACCTGACCTCAAAAGCACAACTTACGATATAAAGAAAAAGAGCCTGTGGTTAGACCTCAGCATGTGTAGATTCTGTTTCCTAGATTCCTTAGATAGGCCACTTAATCTCTCACTTACCTTGTGACGTAAGTGACGCAGGTGGGCTGGTGCTCTCAAAGGTACCATTTCACTCTCAGATGAATCCCAAATTCTAAGAATAGTTGGTGGTATGATTGGGATGAGGAATGGAAGAAACTTCTTCATTTCTTAGACTTAACAGCTTTTAAATTTGACTTTTAGGCTTTTCAGACCTCAGAATGGCAAGCCTCAGGTGTGTCCAGTGTTTACCTTATAACATATCGATTTTGGAATAGAACTGGCGTGGCTTTAGATGGGGATAAAAAATATTTAGGTTGTTCTTGCTCATAATCAGGTTCTTATACTTTTCCTTAGAGGTAAATATTGCATCAGCTCACTGTAAGAAAGAATATTGCTTATATTAAGTATTCTTTAAGTAGCTTTTCCACATCTTTGAAAGAGTTGTATTTTCTTCTAGGAAGGCAGATTTTATTTTTGACATGGTGGTGCCTGTTTTTTGAGCTCTTAATCTAGTTCTTTTTATGTCAGTGAAACCTTAGCATTTAAAAATGAATTGAAATATTGGTAACTACTCCTATAGAGATTTTTTAACTACATAAGCCAGAACAGTGAAGTTAAGTCTTTGATGCATATGTGCATTTTTAATTTCTTATTCTTTTAGTTCCTTGAGAACAGTTCTCTTTGTAGTCAAATTCATTGTAATCCCATCACGAAAGTGTTGATCTTTTAGTATCCTTTATTGAAGCATTGTATTAATCCACATTCCCTCACGGTAACAGACGGTTCGTATCAAACATATCATGCAGCTTAGCTCAAGCCCCATATGGAACTAATAAGCCACGCAATAAGTGGCCTTGTGTAGTTTGGAAGTGTGTGTGTGTGTGTGTGTGTGTGTGTGTGTGTGTGTTGTCTAAACTGAATTTCTCCTGCCAAAACCTAAATGACAAAATGATTCCTGAACCCCCGGAGTCTTTCCTGGTCTGGAAAAATTGTGTGTTTATAAAATAAAGATAAAATTGAGCACTTTGATATTAAATTAGGCCTTTTAGCTTAATAGGAAGATGCTCTCTGAGTATAAGAATTCAGCATGTATTTCTCAGAAAAACAATCATACTTTACTTTCGAATATGATCTCCGAAACTGCACGTGGTCTTACCTAGTCAATGGAGCACCATTTATCAAGCTGTATAAACTAGTTAACTTCAACTGCAAGGGCTTTAACTTCATAATTGATATGTCCTATTTGGTGAAACTCACAGTGAATATATAGTGTTTTGTGGCTGGAACCAGCATGAGACTTTGGAAAACTACTCTATTTTTATTCAGAAAGGTGGTGTGGGAGAGGAAAACAGAAGATAGTTGATGTTATTGACATGACTACGGTTGTCTGTACAATCTAAGAGTATCCTTTACTCTTGTTTTCTTTCTTTTTGTGTGTTCCAGTAACTATACAGCCAGCTCTTCTGCATACTTTGGTACAGAGATTTTCTCTTGCTCGTAGACAATAGCATTTGTTCATTTTTCCAGGGAAACCACTGAACATAGCTTCTCCCCACTTCCCAGCTAACCTGTCGTCTTTGTGTAGTTTTCACCTTGTAACCTACTATAGTTGCACAAAAATTTAATTGCCCCCATGGAGTTCTAAACCAATCAGAGTATAGATGAAATTCAAGCTAATTGAAACCAAAATTCCACTTAAAAACTGCTTACACTCTTTGGGTGGTGGTGCAGTAGGAAGTTGTTACAAAAGGTGTTTATTTCAGAGACTAATTTGAGGCAGTTAGACCCACAGAAATATTTTATTTGCCTGAGTTTCTTGGCATCTGCTTTTCCCAATCAGAAGTGAGAGCGGAAGGAGCTGCATTCAGGGAAGTGTACATCACTTGAAAGGCAGGTATGAATATATTTGTATCACATGTGAATTTCTTTTCTCTAATTTAATTGTTAACACTCTTACAGATGTCCTCCATTTACCCCCACACACCTTTGTCCTTCATCCCCCACTCCCTCTCTCTGGACTTTCCCTCTTTGTTGTCTGTGTCAGTGGCCTATGTATACGTACATATATGTTATTTGGCTGATCTCATGTGTTGAAAATTAAAAGGATGACATGGTAGAAAGAATTTGGAGCTATTATTAGGTTCTAGCCTTGGCTTTGTACTTTATCAACTTCGTGACCTGGGCAGGACATTTGTTTTATTGAGTCTTAGTTTCTTTTTTCTTTTTTTTCTTTTTCTTTTTTTCTTAAATTATGAAAAGAGGAGGGTAGGAGAAGATAATCTCCAGTGTCTCTTTAAGCTATAACTTTCTAAGTTTCTGTGATAAAAAATAATTGAGCAAATGAAGAGTTAAGGCCTGGGTGGAGGCTTGAAATGCCCACGTTTTCCATTTTTGGTTGCAATCAGACTTGCAGACAAATTTTCATTGTGGTCTCTGAAAAGAATTCAACACCCACCTTCCACTGTGGACCTGGGGCAGGCAATTGACTATGTACTGGCTCAGGGACACATAACTTAGTGTTATTTCAGTATGGTTTTTTGATATTTAATATTTTTCAGTATGAATCACAGGTGAAATTTCCATGCCATGTGTAAACAATTTCACTTTTTTATTGAAACAATGAATTCAGGAATGTCATATTGGGATATCAGCCATTTTACTTTTATCAATGTATGGAAAAATGCTTTTATATTAATATAAGAAATGATGTCATTTAATATGGAGTAGATCTTATAATTCAAGGTCAGCAAATCTCAGGAGGTTCTTTGGTCACCAAGCTAAGTTTTGGAAAAGGGAAAAAAAATCTTTTCCTTTTGTCTTCTCAAGTGTTTTTACCAGTTTTCCTCTTACTCTGGGGTAAAGGACAAAGTAACATGGTTGTGAAAGGGAAGCTCTGGCTAACAATATCTTTCCCATTGACCTCTGTGGTCCTTGAGAATTTACTTTCCCTTTCTGGGCTTCAGTTTCCCCAACTGCAAAAGGAAAGGATTGGCTTAAATGATATTCACAATTCACAATTCCTTTTAGCTTAGCAGTCTATGTTTCTACCGCCTTGCCTTGTGTGAATATTCAAGAAACCCCATTAGGCTTTGGCATTTCCCTTTAAAAGTTCATTGTAGTGAAAATAAACTTCTGTTCAGTGAAAAACCAGTTGAATGATAGAAACAAAGGAAGACTTACTTTGATATTTTTTTGTTGGTCACGGTTTTATTTTTTAAAGAGGAAAATATTTAGATGTTTGACTTGGTCACTTTTAAAGTTAGGTGCTAGACACTGTCGGACTCCATGATCCACCCAAAAGGTTGGTCATCAGTTCATTCTTTGGATTGATTAATGACCAAAAGAGGGATATAGATAAAAGGGGCCACATGGTAATCTGACAAGCTCAGGGAAGGTCTGCATGGCAGTCTTGCAAACTCAAAGGCCTAGGCAGTGATCAAAGCATGAGCAGCTGGTGTGGAAGGGCAGGTCTCAGCTGACCTCTAGGCCCTGAGCAGCACCTGGGCCCCCAGACCCCCCGCTCCCCCGTCTGCCTCGGTCACGGTGCCCGAGTCCTCACGCTGAGATGCGGTGATGGCAGGCGGATGCCATGGGCCAGGGCGCAGTGTGGGTCTCTGTGCCTCCCAGCAGCACCACATGGAAATCGAGTAGGCAGTGAGCTCTCTCCCAGCCTGCCTCACAGACCGGCTCCTGTGCAAACCCACGGGGAGCCTGATCGGCCCCTACTGTCCCGGCAGCTGCAGTCCAGGCAACTGTGGCCCGGCTCACCTGAAAGAGGCTGGGTGGCTCCTCGGGGGCACCTGGCACCTGAGCACAGGGACTTCCCTGGCACGCAAGCCCTGGCTTCCTAAGGGAGGGTAGCAGGGGGAGTGAGAGTGAGCTCAGCAGACACCCCACATTCTCACCACACCTTTGTTCCAGTTACCCCTGCCCCCAGGTAGCCAGCGAGAATGTTTGCCATTGCCTGCTATGTTCTGCGCCACCCCCTGGTGGTCAGCACAGGCATAGCGAGCAGTCAAACTCCCAGTGGAACTCCCCCGGTTGAGGGGACACTTTGCATATTAGGCTTTTATTATATAGGATTAATTATTGACTGTTAACTATCCTGTACCCACCTAAGTAAAAGAAGTATGTGTCTATCTTACTTTTTATCCATTCCCAGATATTACTCTCTTCCTCTCTTTGCTTTCTCCTGCCTTCCCAATCTATCACCAATTGATTTCATATAAACCACATATGTCTCCTCTTTGATGTAATATATAAAACAAGGTGAAAAAACACTATTCTCCAGATCATTATCGCAAATATTGAGATTCTGCTTCCTGGCAGTTGTCGACAGTGTGGCTCAAATAAACGCTCAAAAATTCAAATGAATAAATAGACCAAGTTTAGGTAATAGAAAAGTAAAACTTCAGAACTGAAGATCCTTCACATTTGTACAATATACAGTTACAAAGTGTTTTTTGCATAGGTATCATGTCATTTGAAAAAATACATTTCTACAGGACTGTATTGCACATTTACTGTGTATTTGATATTATGTGTGTGAGCATGTGTATGAATGTGGTTGATAATATTGGAATCATACATTCATATTTCCTGTTTTCGAGTAAAAAAAAAAAAACAACACATGTTTAATAGATCATGTTTTTGAAGCATTGCCTAGTATCTGCCAACATTTCTTTTAATTCTCTTTTTCTACCTTTGCAGCTAAGATATCAACATGGACTTGGGACTCCAGACTTGAGGCAAACCCTTCCCAACCTGAAAAACTTCATGGAACATGGACTACTGGTCAGGTGGTGAGCACCTTTATTTCTGATACTCAGAAACTGTAATGTACATAATCATCCGGAGGGACTGTTCTGACTTCCACACTGCTCCACACCTGCCTTCTTGGTCTTCTTCTGTAATAAGATATCTGAAGAAAAGGAAAGACAGCCATTGTAGATACTTTTTACTAAGCTCCAGTCTGGCCAACGCGGGTGAAGCACTCTCAGGAAGGGAGAAGGTTCAGGGAGTATTGTTTGGACATTGGGAGGTTGACTGGGCAAGCAGTCGTTGAGTACATTGCTGAGGCAGACTGCCCTGTGGCTCATAAAAGGGGAGACATTGAGCCCCTATGTCTTTTCTAAAGAACAATTGAAGGTCATAAATAAAGAATGAACACGAGGACCAGTGGCTATGAGAGTTAAGGGAAGAAAGCAGACAAGGAACAGGTTAGGTTTGTCAGGACCTAGTCTTGAGACCAGGAGGCACATACTAAAATGTTTCTTGTGTTTGATGTCAGTGTCATTTGTGCCCTGAGGGCAAGCCGCTACTGCAAAGTGCTTTGTCAGTATAGACATGACTCTTAAAAAGGAAGGGCAGATGGAGATCCAAGAGGCGGCAGAGTAGGTAGAAGTTACACTCACCTCCTCCCAGGTCCAAACTGGAATTAAAACTAAATTATAGAATAATCAACCTGAATAACCAGCTGAAGACTAGCTGAACAGAAGTTGTATAACCAATAATTTACAGAAGCAGCCACATTTAGACTTGTTGGGAAGGCAGAGATGTGAAAGGGGTTGGCCCCACACCCACGTGAGGTGGTAGACAATCCAGAGGGATGTCTTAGCTGCAAAGGTCCCCCTGAGGGGCATGGGGTCTCAACCTCAGCCAGGCTCCCCAGCCTGGAGCACCAGAGCCAGGAAGAGGAGCCCACATAATATCAGCAGGGATTCAGTACCCAGGAAGATACAGAGTCTGCTAGTAACCCAGGCACACTCTTAAAGGACCAGCACACAAATTCTCTTTTGCAGCCACTCATCCTTGGCTCCAGCAGAGGGAGTGTGGTTCAGAGTGAAGTGGAGTCATGTGAGAATAGACAGAGTTTTGTGGCTCTGGGGAGAGAGCTGAAGGGACAGCTGCCAGGTCCCTATATTGAGTCCCTCTCCCACACCTCCTGCAGATGTTGTCTTTTCTAGGTTGAGCATTCTCCTCCATACTGCATCAATCTGCAAAGCACTACCTAATTTGCTTTCCCACCCTCCCCACTCCCTGTTGCCCAGGCAACTGGGGGTCAGAGATGAGGAGACACACTGAGGTCCACACGGTTAATAAATGAGGACCCAGGATGCAAATCCTGGCCTCCACCCCTCAGCTCAGGGCTCTAAACGCCTCTGGAACTAGTGGTGGAGGAGGGCAGACATATTTAAGATATCATCCTGTCATCCCAAGCAGCTCAGTAACATTCCTGTTGACTCCCCTTCCTTTTTCTAAGTGCCCTGCCCAGCTCATGCCTGCTAAGGAGTCAGCTGCCTGGACCTGGATATCAGAGACCAAGTTGTGTGGTTCTGAGGAGGGGGCTATTTTTCCCTTTGGTGGTACCCTTCCTATGCAGAGCCCTCTCTTCACATAGCCAAATGTGATAAACTCTGCTGGCCTTACCCTGACAACTCCATAAGAACATCAACACCACCACAAAGGTCCAGGGGCACTCAGTGGGTAGAGGCTAGTCTTGGTGTGCCCTGAGACTTCTGCTGAGTGACCTCAGTCCCTGCACTGGTGCTGAGTTTGAATCTGTATCCATCTGGTGAACACAACTCACCTCTCCCTGGTGACTCCCTGAGACCCTACCTTGCAAAGCTCATAGGGTCACCAGAGGCCCTTTTAGTGACTAAGCCTAAAGTCAGCCAGCAAGTGGAGAATAAAAGGATTAATCCAACAAGACAATATAACTCTGGTAACCATGTATGTACCCAACAAAGGAGCACCTAAATATGTAAAGTAAATCTTGATGGACATAAAGGGAAAGATCAACAGTAATATAGTCATAGTAGAGAATTTTAACTCCCCATTGATATCAATGGATAGATCTTCCAGACATAAAATCAACAAGGAAACAGATGGACTTAATATTTTCAGGGCATTTCACCCCAAAACAGCAGAGTATACATTCTTTTCACGTGCATGTGGCACATTTTCTAGGATAGACCATATTAGTACACAAAAGAAGTCTTAATAAATTTATGAAGATCGAAATCACATCAAGCATCTTCTGGGACCACAATGGTTTGAAACTAGAAATACTTTATGGGGGGGGGGGGTAAATCTGAAGGCTAAATAACATATTACTAAACAATGAATGGATTAACAATGAATGATATCAAGGAAGAAATCAAAAAATACCTTGAGACAAATGAAAATGATAATACAACCCAAAATTTATGTGACACAGTGAAGGCAGTCCTAGGAGGGAAATCCAGAGCATTACAGTTCTACCTCAGGAAACAAGAAAAACCTCAAATAGTCTAACCTTATACTGAAAGGAACTAGAAAAAGAACAACAAGCAAAGCTTAAAGGCACCTGGGTAAAAGACAGAGACGTGGCTGACAGCAGCTGCCCTCACACTACAAGACTTGTTTGAGTTGTCTCATAAACATGGTATGGGGAAGTGTGTTTTTGATATCTAAATCCAGCCTACCACCAGGAATGCTCAGGGCCTACTCAAGAAGGCAAATAATCCTTTCCCCTAATATTTACACAGTAAAATGAGATTGTTTTAGAGTAATAAATTTGATAGTAAAATAGTAAACAAGTTTTCAGGCTAATTTAAATTGGCTAATTAAAATAAGCGAATATCCTAGAAAAACTAATTGCACTTGACAAAAAGCTGTTCCTAAAATGTTAACTAAAATTTTTATTGGTAGTTCATCTCAGGATAAAATCTCACAACAGGAAATGAGCCTAAAGCAGTCATATTATAGTGCAAAAAATTAAAATTTAAAAGCTATCAAGACTACATCATAGAATTTCCAAAAGCCTCCTAATATTTAAATCAAAAAAGGGGAAAGTAGAAGAATATCATGTAAGAAAAAATATCCTGAAAGTAAATTACAGCTAGAAAATTTGTTCTTCAGAAAATTAATTTGTAATGCTATCAGCAAGACACCCATGAAAAACACACATGGTATCAAAACATGCCAGAGGAAAATCATTTGGGCAAAAAATGAAAAAGGATCCCAAGTCAAATTTATAGAAAATATTCCTTTATTAACTTTTGGTCGAGAATATGTTTGTATATTTTCAGAAAACAACTCTGAGACCATGTGGATTCTGGCAAAGGAATTGACAGGACTACTCCAACCATGCAGATAGAAGAGAAGCAGTCCAGAGATGGAAGTCACTGATGATGCCTTACCATAATAGAAGTCAGCAGCTGTGTATCACTGCAGGTTGCCCAAGATTAAACCAGAGAGGGTTGGACCTGCATTACCACCATTTGCCCACCATCCAGAACTGAAATATCATTGCTGACATGTACACATAAGGAACTGTCCGACATTGAAATTGGATCTCAAAAGAACTGGTGGCCCAGAAAGAAGCTCACTACAGACTGATGCATATGCCTTTCAGCATTATGATTATTGCTTATCTCATTTTTATTCTTATATTTCCAGAAGGACATGATCTCACTCATCTAGGGGAAATAATGAACAACATAGACTGATGAACAAGAACAGACACAGAGATAAGGAGCCATGGGTCAGACTGTTGGACCTCAAAGGAGGGGTGGGGATAAAAGGGAGAGATTAACCAAAGGACTTATGTGCACACATATGAGCCTAACCAGTGGTCAAGGACAATAGAGGGGTGGGGATTTGAATGGGGGTTTGAGGACAAATATGTGATACCTTAATCAATAAAGAAATTAATTAAAAATAAATAAATAAAACAAACAAACAAATAAATAAATAAATAAATAAATAAATGCCTAAAGTGAGTAGACAGTAGAAAATATTATAAGAAAATATTGTAAATAACTATACACCAACAAATTGGACAATCTGGAAAAAAATGAATAAATTCCTAGAAGCATACAATCTTCCAAAACTGAATCAAGAAGAAACAGAAAATCTGAACAGAGCAATTATAATTAATAAGTACTCCCAACAAAATAAATATCCTGGACTGGATGGCTTCACAGGTGAATTTTACCAAACACTGAGAGAACAGCTAACACCTATTTTCTCAAGTTATTCCAAAAAATTTAAGAGGAGAGAAGACTCCTAACCTCTTTCATTGTATTAGCATTATCCTAATTCCAAAACCAGATAAAAACACTACAAAGAAAGAAAATTATAGGCCAATGTACCTGATGAATATAAATGCAGAAATTATCAAGAAAATATTAGCAAACCAAATCCAGCAATACATTATAAAGATCATACCATGACCATTTGAGATTTATTCCTGGGATGCAAGGCTGGTACAGTATCTGCAAATCAATTGACATGATACAACACATAAACAAAATGAAGGATAAAAACACATGATCAAATCAATAGATACTGAAAAAGCATCGACAAATTCCAGCATCCATTTGTGATAAAAACTCTCAACAAAGTGGGAATAGAAGGAACATACCTCAACATAATAAAGGACAAATCTGACAAACCACTGCAAACATCACACTTAGTGGGGGAAAATTTAAGCATTTCTCTTAAGATCAGGAACAAGACAAGGATGTCCACTTTCACCATTCATAGTCAACATAATATAAGAAGTCCTAGCCACAGCAATCAGGCAAGACGAAATAAAAGTCATCCAAATTGGAAAGGAAAAATTAAATCTGTCATTTTTTTGCAGAAGACATGATACTATATATATGGAGAACCCTGAAGATTCCACACATACTAGTACACATAAAACTAATAAATGAACTTAGTAAAGAAGCAGGATATAAAATTAATAATAAGAAATTGATTGCATTTTTATATACAAATAAGGAACTATCAGAAAGGAAAATTAAGAAAACAA